CAGAAGAGGACACGACGACGTCACACGCAGCGAGCGTGCTCAGTGTTTACAGAAGTAAACATGGATGGTAACGGTGGAGCGTATCTGCCACTCCCCCACCACCATCGATGGTGGAAACAGAAGTGTGAGCGCTAACTAAACTGGTCAAGTACTGCCTGTGTGTTCCGGCCACTTCCACCCCGTCAGAGCGCTGCCCCAGGGTGGAAGTGGCCGGAACATGCACAAGCGCACCGGTCAGTTAGTCGTGAAATCCAGCGATGCCTAGTGTTCAAACAATACACTAGTTATTAGAAAAACTATGAACAATGAATATTAACAACTAATGAGCCTTCCAGCATCAAGCCCTCCTTGTATCTCGACCTCCGTCTTGACAATCCGACAGCCTTGCTATCCGACATGAAACAAGGTTTTACATTTAGTGTCGGATTATCGAGTCGTGACTGCATTTGTTAAAGGACTATCTCAACATCTCGGGTTGGAAATGTACTCGATTGATACAACTCTCGTGTCTCTACATTAAATGTGAGGCGACATCCAGCAGCCAGTTAGCTCAGCCAAGCACAAAGACTGGAAACACAGGAAGGATGATAACCTGACCGAAGGTAACAGCACCTCTGAAGCTCACTAATTAGCACTTCTCTTCTTGTTTCTTGTTTAATCCTGGACATAAAACTGACTATGATTGTGCCGTGACTTTGGAGGGTGACACGACGCCTTCGGGTCGCTGCACCTGACCAAGAGAATGTCCTGCACGCAACCATGTGTGCTCTGTCAAAATCTGTGGGACATAATTCCTCCGGACAGCTTGTAAAATATTCACAGCGTCGACAACAACATCAGAGTGCTGTTCTCTGAAATACATCACATGCAAGTAGACATTCTTTCAAATTTGCTTTTAAGACTATTGTCAATCATCGGTGAATCTTTTTGAAAAGGTTTCTCATCTTTAAAAGAACGAAGCGTTGCTCAAATTATACAGATTTAATCAAACCAACGACTTTAACAAAGATGTCAGATCACAGTCATCTTCATAGAAACAGGCAGAAACACGACCATACAGATGCTGTATACTGTGATCATGTGCATGAACAGGGTATATATAGTTTTCCTTAGTGCAGAAAAAATAGACAGTCTCACCGCTGACTCACAAACGCACGTCTGTTCGTTTTGACATTTGTGATGCACCAAAACTGTAGCTCAGGTTTTGTTATGTTGTAAAATAGGACACTGACTAACTTCATGGGCTGGTTCGTGATGCACAGACATACAATTCCTATATATATGCACTTCAAAGCCACAAATACAGCTAAACTGATGTTCAAAGTACTGAACCATCTGATCCAAACTGTTCTGATGTGTACAATTAAAATCTCAGCAGCTAGCGTTTAGTCGCAAATGAGACGACTTTCAATTGGACAAAACCAATATGTAGAACGATAAAGAATTCTTTATGATTCTGTGTTTTCATCCAGCTACTCTGTAAATAATGCACAGTTCATAAAACCCTGTTCAATTAAAAGCTATTAAACTGCCTGCAGGTTGTTAACCCTGCATGAGTAACCGTTCGCAGACACAGATGGTCCGCTGGCATCTGTTTCTAAGAATTGGTTTATTTTATTGAAATGCTACACATGCAACGAAAGGCTCAAAGGTTGGACGTAACCTCTGAATATTAATAATTAAGCCTGACACGATTATTACATAATCGCCTGATCGCAGTTCTTTGAGCTGACTGCAAGCATTAAGTGTTGGAATGGTGTATGAAGTCGGCTGCAGGAATGTCACATTTACACATAATTTTCCACACTTTGCATGCTTTTGTTCTGCAAACATAACTTCTTATATTCAAATAACTCCATTTCAGTGAGCACGTGTCCACATTACAGCTGGAAAGTGTCACTGTGGGCACATGTTGGTAGTAAGAGAACGTACGAGGTGACTTGGATTTGTGAGAAAAAG